TGCTGATCTTTTCTGGCTGGCCATATGATCTTGAGTGGTACTGAGCGAAGACAACTGTTAATGAAGGTGTGTAGTTTGTTTGAGGTGCTCTTTATGACACGCCAAATCTCTGATCCGTATAGTAGCAGTGACTGACTTCACATTGGAGTTGAAAATCCGGATGTTATTTTTGATGCTGAGTGCTGCTGACCTCCACACAGACTTCAGAGTAGTGAAAACTTGTCTTGCTTTTCCGATTCTTGCTTTGATATCCTCGTCAGTTCCGTGTGCCTGTAGTTGAAACGATGCTTCCCAGGTAGGTGAAGGAGGTTGTTTATTTCAGGTTCCTTCCATTTATGCTGATTGTTGTCTGTTGTTGTTGCTGTTGGTGTTGGCCAGGGATCTTCATCACCTCCGTTTTCTCTATGTTCACCTGGAGTCCTATCTTTGATGCTTCTTCTGCCAACTTGTTGCTTTTCGCTTGCATATCTTCCAGTTTGTGGGAAATCAGACATATATCATCGGCGAAGTCCAGATCCTCCAAGTTGGTTTTTTGTGTGAGTCCATTTTATGCCTGTTTCGTCATTGCCCGCTGTTTGTCGCATTATCCAGTCTACTGCAATCAGGAAAATCATTGGCTATAGTAGGCAGTCTTGTCTTACTTCTGTCCTCACAGATCGTCTATGTATTTTATATTGAATATAGCCAAAATCTAGTTCAGTCATTTCATATTTGTGCTTTTCAACAGCTTTGGAGCAGACCGTCAACAAGAGATGGCAAGGCAGAGATGATTAACGTAAGACTTAGTGCCATAGTGATTCAGCTCAAGTGAAAACACCTCGAGGAAGCAAAATATACAGATGCACAGAGTAAAAGTACAGGGGAATTATAAAATTTAGTAACGAATAAACAGGAGGAGATGATGATTCGACGAATATTATTGAGGTTCCATTATGAATCCTTTTTTAAAATTTCGAGTAAATTGGCTTCCTAAGGAAAGCAATTGCATAACATGAATAACAAATGTTGTAGAGAGCTCATCTCAACTAATCGTTTGAATTATCCCCTCTCCTCATTAGACAAGACTCAACACCTAACCTCATTAATATTGAACATATCACTCCACCTAACACAACAGTTCGAATGAAGTGAAAAACTGCTAATCTTTTTAAATTTCTCGGTTTAAACAGTCATATTTCGTAGTTCTAAAGTGGAACGAAAAGAGCTACTGTGTAGCACACACACGTACACAAACACACGCTTTGATAGATAAACGGATGTGATACCTGCTACAAAAATGACTCAAGTAGGGAAATGTGAAAGCAGCCTTATTCATTTGTCAGCATTGAAGCCGTACTGGTTAACGCAACTTCACAAATAAGTGTAATGATCAACAAGCCCAGTCGTTTCACTACCTACCGTAAGACTGATAATCGGTGCCCTCCTGTTACACTTGATGGGTATACCAAACATATTGAGTGTGTGTTCAGAAAACTTCAAATTTTGTCAGTATCTTTTGCTAGAAAAGTGTATTTCAACAGCATACTCTATATCAGTGTGAATCTACTCTGGTAAAAGTCAGTCCTTAAGTCGCTAAAGTTGGTCTTGGTCACATCCATCAGTACATCTATAATAATCCTGTAAAGTGTGTAACATTCACTATTAGTCACTGTAATAAAAATGATGTGTGACTTGTCGTCATCGAAAAAAGTAAAGAATGACACTCAAACCTGTACCTTGACTTCATCGACATCTAAAAGGCCTTCGACAGCGTTGACCAAGAAGTAATTTGGAAACTACTTCAACATTGCGGCATACCTCAAGCCTTTATCAACCTCATTCAACAGCTGTATGACAATGCCCAATGTCAGGGGATCCAAAAACGAAAACTCAGCAAGGCGTTCGAAGTGTATGCAGGAGTAAGACAAGGTTGAACTACAATCACCATTTGTTATGGTCTGGATTGTGCGTCGGATTGTGGAGAGTGAGAAGACAGAAATACGTTAGACCGATAACAAGACTCTAGAAGATCAAAATTTCGCGGATGATTTGTGTCTCATGCCACACAAACTTGCAGATGAAAAGCAACACACTGGCTGAAGAAGCAGCCAACGAAGACAGGACTCCAGGTGAACCTAGAGAGGACAGAGATGATGAAGATAACCAATCAACAGCCGCCACCGATCACCATCAATGAGAGAAGTTTGACAGACGCTACTTCCCTCACTTATTTGGTCACAGGTAGTTGGAACGGATTAAGATGTGAAAGCCAGACAGAATCGGAGAGGCAACAAACGCCTCTGGTGAATGCCAACTAGCACGAAACCTAGATGAAACAAGGCTTCGTACTGATTGCCTACATACATCTAATATACAGGTGTTTTTGTCTCCACAACCTCTTCCATTAAAGTTACCTAAACGAGAAAAATAATGGGCCAAAATCATAACTCTTCCGCGTCGTCTATACTATTGAATCTCTGGTAGTTGTAATAGAGAAGCCAGGGCCTTATACACAGAAAACATTTGTTCAGTCATTCTTTCTTTCATTGTCTTTAACCACTTACGTTAAATCTATTCCTTTAGCAGTCTATCTTATTACTATTATTATTATAATTATTAAACTTCATTATACCCTCATTATATCTTGATTAACATTTACTAATCTTTAATAAACTTACAATTATTCTACTAATGATTATGCCTTTCAAATGTGAGAGTCAATTACATGAACTCATGAAGAAGTTTATCAGCCAGGTCACGTATTTTCTCTCCTTCTCTCTCTCTCTGTCTCTACATATCGTAACGGTGACTGTTCATACATTAAAAATAATTTTTTGTCAATAATACAAGAATATGATGGTATTCATCAAGAATAGAGTTTTTATTAAACACACTTTTTATTGAAGCCTTTTTTATATCCGGGAAATATCTAATTTTCCATTATTTGTTTTGTAAGGATTTTGTTTGATTGCATGGAGGATTTCATCATGAGCTGACATCAGTAAGAGAATCTGATGCTCACTAGAGACTGGCCTTATTGAGGCAGTTACCTGGGGTTCTAGTGGGAAGCCGTGACCAGTAGGGTGCAGCAGGTTGAAGATGAGGCAGTAACTCATCGAAGAAGATATTGTAAAATGGTCGCGCTATTTCGTGAACTAGCGGAAGTTAGAATTCATGAGCTGGCTGGCCATTGGATCGGGTCCCAGTTGCTCACCTTGTAACCAGAAGCTCCTGGGTTAGAACCCCGGTAGATGCGTACTGCTGAATAGTCCCAAACTAGGACGAAACAGCTGTACAGTACTCCCAGCTTTTCCATGAATTTGTTTCCCTCTAGTATAAAAGGAACTTGGCAAAGACCCTCAGTTACAGCTTCATAACTTATACATTCAGAAGGGATGACTGAAGAAGAACTTAAGATTGTATGTGAGACCTTAATTGAGGATAGCTATTCAGAAAAGTTTACCATGAAACATACTGCTAGGAAAGTCGAAAATAACTGTTCTGTCGTTAGACGATTAGAGGCAGTCGGCAGGAAGCTTTAGATCTACGTTTCGTGTTTGTCAGCACTCGTCATCAAGACATATCTGGAATCTTGTAGGAACTGATGTCTCCAACAAGCATTAAACCTAGGTCCAAAGCTTTCTGTCAGTTGATTCAACTACCTAACAACTATTCACTTTGCAAAGTGATGCCATCAGTTACTTAATGACCTACGAGCTAGCTCGCCTTGTAACCAGAAAATCGTGGGTCCAAGCTCCGTTGGTGGGTACGTGGGTGCGTGCTGATAAGGAGTCCCAAACTAGTCCGACGAAACAGCTGTCCAGTACTCCCCGGTGGGTTTTCCAGTGGTCCTCTAACTGATGTCAGTTCATGATGAAATCCTCCATCCAATCAAATATTTAATTGTCTACACTATGTATTCCGAAGAAATCATACTTTGCCTACTGTTGCCATCATAAAAACATCAATACACTACTGAGCTATCTTTGATTTATCTACATCAGAGGCCCAACAATAGAATTATCACCAGCAACGCGTGACGTCAAGATTCAATTCCTATCCGATGGCTAGTTCACTGGCTGTTAGTAAGCCTAGGAAAAGAAGGAGGGAAGTTTGGGTATGAGTCTAGTAAATCCACTCCATAAGAACGACACCACTGATACTGGAACTTACAAAGCATAAAGCCTTTTGTTCCACTCGGAACGAAAGGAGTAAAGAAGAAGAATTGGGCTTAGTTTAGAAAAAAAACAGATAAACTGTAGAAATCACATTAAATGTTATAAGATTACAATTTAAAATATCATCTCTTTAAATCTGCAATCTATTCATGTAATGAAATTCGAAAATTGCAGTTTAATTTGCCATTTGAAAATTACACAGTTCTCGATGAAATTTCACCACAGTTTCCTCTAGAAATCTAAATTTTCCGACCACAGTACGTGACCAAGAAATCAAGCATGATTGCATGACGCTGTATACTACTGATTGGTTGACAAAAGTAGTTGGATAGTACTCATATGAACCAATAGAGCTTGGTAACCAGATGAAAGTTATCTAAACACTGGACAGTGTATTCGCTTATTTGAGGCCAAACTCAGTAAAGCATCTCTGGTTGAACGGGTTCAGCTCTCTGGTCTAAATCAGACTGAGCAAACTGTTGATGATATCAACGGGTATATGGTGGTTAGATCCCAGCGATCTGGTTCCCACAACAATTCATCTCAATCAATTAGAAGTACATAGCATCATCTGTCAAATTTATGTGAAAGTGATTAATTTCAAGAGAGAACTTTGTTATGAGCAAACATCAGATCAGATACATTTATTGATATATAGCTTCACCATGTTATTCTAAAGCATTTTGTTATTATGCTCCAGTTTGATCCCATTTTGAGCTCCAGTCAGGTCTAGTGAACCAGGCTTTCTTATTTTTGTAAACTCATGGCATAAATTCAAAAAAGATAATTATTATAAAAAATTAGAATAAAATAGTCATATTTTTATATTCATCATAAATTTACCTTTATTTGTAATTACATCCACTTCTACTGTTGGATAACCACGACTATCTAATATTTGTCTTCCAGTAATTTTAAGAATAGACATTTTTATGTACTAATATTATTATTATTACTATTAATATTTATGATATTTAGATATAATTTTATGTAAAAAAAAGAAGTAGAGTCAATGTATAATGGTTAAACAAATTAAGGTATAGATAACCTATCGATTTTTTGGCCTATATGTGTGTATGTTTGCTTGTAATGTATTTAATAAATCAATAAATACAAATCACTTAAATTAGCTCATCATGTGATAACAGTTTAGTGGCATAGAATGACAGCAGTAGAAAAAGATCAGAAGGCCAATTAATCATACTGTAATTATGATAATTCTATATGAAAACATTGTCAGACTATCTCTTATGAAATATGTAATTAAAAGTGGGAGAAAATAAAATTAGTAATAGCTAGATTAATTAAAATACTAGTATCAAGTCAGTCAGTGCTTCTATGTGTTTTGGAAACTTGGTGTGAACGTTTCCAAAAGCATTTTCAACAGCCTACTTCAGACTATCATGATTACCGAACTCGGATAAGTTAAACTTTAAGCACCACTAATTACCAATCAGCGAATGAACTTGAATGATCCAGCGAGCTTCATCCACGTGAGTGGAAGTTCCTATTTCGCTTGATTCGAGTCAAATGCCTGCTCTAACGCAGTGGCGCTTACAGTGTGGTGAGGACAAGGTTTCCCAGTATTGCTTGGAAGTGGGGTTGCTTAGGAAGGAAAGGATTTATTTGTTCATGTGAAGGTGTCATGAGTATAAAAAGCTTCAGCAAGTCTATTGATGGTTATGTCCATCATTGTGCAATTTGTTTGCAATGAGTTAGTGTCAGGGAAGGTAAGCTGATGATTTGAATGTTTCGTAGGGACATTTTTTGTTAGGTCGCATTTGCCCTCAACTGGATTTTGAAACAGCCTGTGAGAGGTTCAGCTGCTGAAACTGAAAATAGTCTCGTAACAACAGTTCATTGGTACTAGCACTGCAGGGATATCGCATCCTGAAAAATGGAGAGGCTTACTTCTATATTGAGAGCAGAAGATACCTATTATCACTTGACTTGTGAAACAGAGATCTATAATACACATCGATGAGTGGAAAGGCTATAACTACCTGTCATCCCTTGGATATATTCCCCACAAAGTGAACCATTCTAATGATTTTTTGGATCCCATTACAAGGACATACCAGTTCTATAGAAGGCTTTTGGGGAAGGTTAAAAAACAGGATAAGGGCTATAAATGGATCTCAAAAGGATGGCCTTTATAGTCATTTAGACGATTATATGTACAGAATGTGGTGTAACTTTTCAATTGTTACTCTTACGCTAAAGTGGCAGATGTTTTTATCACATATCAGAGAAAGGTACCCTTTGAAACAGTTTTATTCAATTTTAGGCATCTTTTTCATAAATATATGTTTCCCATAACCAAAAAGACTCTTTCACATGATTGGTTCGCTCAAGGTCGTTTGCTGATTGGTTGTTTCACTTCGTCCATCCTGGAAAACACTAAGCTGAAAAACATTGAATTAACAAACTGAAATCAAAGTCTATTCATGCAGACAAGAAAAATCATTCAACAATAGTAATAATCAGTCAATCAGCTAAAAAGAATGAGTAATTAAGAGACAATATGAATAAATGATGACTCATACTATTAAATGTAATGACAGATGAGTCAGTAAAATAGTATGATTAAACGCTGATTAAGGAGGAAATAAGAGAAATGTAAATCAATCTTTGAAATGTTTTCGGTAGCTTACTTAGTGGCTCTTTTCGATACATTTGTAGATCAGAGTCCTGTTTGCATTCTGAGTATGGTTAGCATACAGTTCACTCCGTAAAATGATACTGAGAAACTGGATTACATCGACCCCTAATCTAAGGGGACCTACTGAGAAGACTGAATGTGTTGTTTACTTCACTTATTTGCAACGCATATGCTTTTGAGAAAAGTTCCACTATTATGTAATAGCGATTCTAAGTGGTGAAACTATTTTTGAGGATATTATTTATCTTCCAGGACTGTAGTATGTGATTTTATGGTCAGTTAGATTTGAACAGCATTTATTTATATGGTTGGAACCTAGCATACACATACTTTCTTCATTATGGATAAGATTTTATTTTGATAAATCACACAGTGTTACACAGTAATATTAACTGATGACGTTTCGAGAACAAACTATTGCCACCCATAATCATATCAAGTTACTCACACAACTTTTTCCTTCATTTATATTTATGTATGGAATTGACTAAATATTTATCTAGTAATTAAGATACTGTTTCGTCATTGCATGATATATCCAATAAACAAATTAATATGGAATTACATCATACTACAGTGCTTAAATTTTACTCATAATTTAATTTCTAAATTGTTTCTAACAAAGGATATCAATATTTAATTGAGACAGGATTTTGACAAAAATGATGATTATGACTATTATGATATTTGAGAATGTAATAAGACTAATTCTTTTATTTGCTGCTGTAATAATCCTGCCAATATGTGTGTTCAGCACTGAAAATCAATAGGCAACTCGACTGAAAACCACTTGCTGATAACTAATCATTTCAGCGCCATTTGTTCCATCGTATATTATAGAAATTGTTTACTTCATTAAGGTTTATAATGAATCTAATCCTTGAATTGTGTGATTAATTCACCTCAGAAGTTAGCCATCCTCGTTTCTATTTCATTTTAATTCAATTTCGACTTTCTAGTGGATTGATTGTATCGAAATTTTCGGCCTCTGTTGACATCTTGGTGCTCTTAGTACGGATTAACTCCATCCTCCTTTATGGCCAGCTGTGAGACCTGGCCACTGAGAGTGGAAGACATGAAAAGATTAGCTGTCTTTGATCATAGGTGTCTGCGTTCTATCTCCCGCGTGAAGTGGTATCACAAGGTGAGCAATATTGAGGTTAGGCGTCGAGTGCTAGGTAAGGCGGGAAAATCAATCGACGAGACTGTGAAATTACATCGACTGAGGTGGCTAGGACATGTGCTACGTATGCCTAGTCATAGCCTTCCTCGACGATGGGCGATGTTAGCTGATATAGGGTCAGGTTGAAAAGAGCTAGTGGCGGTCAAACCAAAACATGGCACCAGTCAACAGTTAGTGTAAGCCACGTGGGAAGGTGTAGACTTCCTAACTGGTTGGGGTCCTCGGGACAGTAAAAACCAATGGTTGGAAACAATTGGTGACATGGCTCAAAATCGTTCTCAATGGCTAGTGCAGATGCATCCACTCCTTGTGACTTATGATTTCCAATGAAACTGTTTTGTTCTTCGTTATTACTATACCTTTGTCTCACACCTCTGTTTACTGTCTATATTATGCATTTCTTCTACTTTCTTCTCTTACTTTGTGTGCTACATGGAGTGGAGTGTGGCGACTTGAAGTGCTGCACATATGTGCAAAGTTCTATGTGGAAAACAGACAGAAAGACAGAAGTAATTCTTGCGGATGATGACCCAAATGGTCTAGTGGATAACTCTTCGACGTTTGAAACGATTGGTGCAGTGTTCGAGTTTCAGTGGGATCACCATCACTCACTAAGGAATGTAAGTACATCCGGATGACGAGTCACAGAGAGGACGAAATGCACAACTACTGGATTCTATTGCTAGTTACCTGTCCACCAAAAAAAGTATCATCATTTCCTCTCTGTTTAAAGCCTAACTTTTTAAAAGCGTGCCACTTAACCAGCTTGTTAATATTTTGGTTGACAGGCACATGGACTCATGTGAAAAATGGGCCAAGTCCATTTTATCTAACTCACACCACCCTCTTCACTCACAACTCTCCCATTGCATCTCATCAGGTAAAACCAGAAGCCAATATAGAAAACTATATGCTCGCACCAGCAAGTACAAAAACTCAACCATACCCTACTTAGCTCGCGTTCTGTGTGATAAAGAAAGCATCAGGCGTGACACCTATAATTCATTAAATAGTCATTAGTACAACTGGATCTCATCTTTCCAACCCACTTCATTAATAGGTTCAACATTTCCTTTCTTTCTTTTCCTTTTCTCTCTCTTCTTTTTCCGTTATGTGCTGCTTTGTTTCTTTCTTCCGCTTACGCCAGTTAATAAGACAGCTCCCACTTTTCTAACACCTTCAAACACTGTTTCAGCTTTACCTTTGCTACTGAACATGCCAATGTATTGTTGTAATAACGAACTGTGGTTTCCTCAATCTATGTAGAATTCTATTTATTGACAATGTACTAACTGGATGCAATACTGTAGTAAAAATGCTGAGAATTCCATTCTGTATCACAAGTACTGTTTTGGAATAAAGCAAATTATTATTATTATTATTAAAAAAAAGCTTCATCCGAGTATACTCCAAATGTTTTCCTCTTGTCGACAATACCCTCTTTGTTTCCAAGCGCTGACAACTTTTTGAAAATAACAATATGATGATAACATTTAGATATTTCTAATCTTTGAACAGTAAAACCAAATGGTAAATACATAAGGGGGTTATAGAAATTTTTGTTTGATATAATAGATTGAACGGCAGCATGATATTTGTTTAAAAGATTCCATTGCTCTTTAATTATTTTTACTGCTTAACTGATTGTACAGTTTCACATAAACGTGTTATGTGCTTACAAACTATGAGTACTTTTCACTTTGTATCTGGAGTGAATTGTTAATTCTTTCAGTGATTAAATGATAGAAGATACTAAGTGGATTTGCTGGTCCCTTACTGGATTGATTATTATTATTGTTTCCTTTAATTCCTAGAGGAACATAGGACTTCAGCCACACGTCTCCATTGCGTTCGGTTCTCTGCTAGAGTCTTCATCTGGCTCCAAGTTTGCCCACATGCTTTCATCTCCTCTTCACATGACCTCCTCCAAGTCACCCTTGCACTGACGACCAACTCGCCGCTTCCCTTTCGAGTTCCACTCGAGTGATGGCTTTTCTAGTGATGTCACTTGATGGTTTCCTCAGAGTATGGCCAGCCAATCCATCTCCATTTCTTCCTGTCTGCTTGTTGCACAATCGGTTCC